TTTTTTTCTCTTCTTCTTCATTTGTTTTTAATTTTTGTTCATGACCCGAGTTGAAAATCAAGCATCATTTTTTCTTCTCATCCTAAGGTATATTGTCATTCTTCATTTTTTTATTTTTTTATTTTCAGCTTTTTTAACAATCCCTTTTCATTTATGTTGTGATGTCGTGGTTGTCAAGGGCGTGTCGCGATGTTGGGGCGACAATTAGGTTTATCGTGCCTCCTGATAAGATGTATGTTGTTGGGGAGGTTTTTGGATTTAATCATAAAATTATGATTAAAGTTTAGGAGTCACCATCTTGTATTATGGTTGCTAGGAACTTATGGTCTGCAAGAATCTAGGCAAGGGATTGGTTATGCAAGGGGAAGATAAGTTATCCCTATTGCATCCTATCTAAGGTAAACTACATTGTTGTTTGATTATTTTTCTATTTCGGGTTTCTATTTCTTGGTCTCATCTAAGGTTCAAGGTAGATCTTTCTTTATAAGAGTCTCTACCTTATCAGGTTTAATCCTAACCATTTTAAAGTCTGAATTTTATCATCACATTTATTTTATACCTTATATCTTTAATAGTTGATGATGTATTCTATTGTGTAATTTTACACCCATAAATATTAAAGTCTACATCTAGATCCTAAAAAAAGACTGGTAAAGTGTTTTTGATTTTTTGATCAAATCCTAATGGATAATCATAAATTGGTTATAATATCTATTTTTTTTAATTTTAAAACATGAGAAATATGCAATTTTCATCTTTTTAAGAAAATATGTTTCAAAGATTTTAGAATTTGGTTGTATGCATAAAAATAGTCGATGAAAATTCTATTGTTTCAATAAATTCAAGTTTCCAACATTCTAGATGGAAATTGCATGTCGAAGCTTGAGTTTCAAGGTTTAAATTTAGTATTAACTGTTTTTTTATTATGTGAATTTGGTTAGTTTATTGAAATTATTAAATTTTTATTTTATAAATTTTTGCTATAAGGGAAAATTTGAACGAAAGAGAGCTAATGATAATATTGTGATGAGGGTTTGAGAGAATTATGATGCAACTAGATAAGATCAAAATTAGGATAATTGTTTTTATTCTAAATATTAAAATTTTATTTTTCATTTACTAACTAATAATTTATTGGTAACATATATGTTGCATGATTTTTTGTACGATGTGCAAAAGAAAAAAAAAACATGTGAGAGTAAGCGACCTTCTAACCTAGAATCACATAATGGTTTGGAAGGATTTTAGGCAGCCATATATCTCAGCGTGTTCATGGTTCTGTTACCACACACACTAACGACTCTGTTTCGTTCGTTTTGCATGCGAAGCGGAAGATAATATATTTTTTAATACTTCTATTTTTTTTTATATAAATATATTTAACTGATAACATTTTTATCTTGCAAGCAACGGTTCTTGGACACAAGTCAACTCCAATAGAACTTTTTGTTCACATGAAAAGTGATGACCACCAAAAAAAGATATAACAGGATATTGATAATCGAGCTCAACACTTAATGATATATTGGTTTTTAACCATTTTTTTATTAAGTTATAATTTTCTTCAATTTGATGAATTTTTTTATTTTATTTTTAGGATACATTTAACAGCCGCTTGAAGGAGAGATATGAGGACGATCCTTTGACCCATTTGGATCTCGATCTAGATTTGTGAATGGACACAACATTGTCCAGTAATCCTGATAGAAATTGGGTGTATGAACTATTTAACACTACAATAAAAAACTTGTGGATAATTTATAGTGTTTCGATCGCTAGATGCTGATAATTGGTTCCATGTACTCACTCCCAAGTTTAAGACGATGTTAGACTAATAAATACATGATCAGACAACTTATCCTAACAAAAAATATGAATGACTCGTTATGAATTACAAATAACTCTGCTAGTGGCGGAGCCACGTAGGTACAAATGGGGGCAAATGGGGGCAATTGCCGCCTTACTTTTTTTAAATATTTTTATATTAAAATATTAATATAATAATTTGGTAAATAGTTCATATAAGAGAGTTGTTAAGAATTGTTAATGCAGCTTCATTCCCTTTTGTTTCTTTTTCGTACCTAACTGTGCAAATTTCTCTTTTGCTTTCCCTACCTCTCTCCAGTATATATGTTCAACTCGTTGCTTGGCTCTCTCTAATATATAAATTTTTCTTCAAGTATAGTTAAGTAATTAACTTTTTTTTTTCTTTCGCTTTATACTTAAGATAAATTTCCTTCATCTTTTTTATTTGTTTTATTTTATTTGTTTAATTAAAAACATTAGGATTTATGATAATTTAAGAGTTTTAATATGAATATGTTTAAAATAAATATTTAAATCTGCTAATTTAATCAATTAAATATTTATTTTTTTATTATAAAAAAATAAATTAATATTTAATGCTAAATCACTATTTTTGGCATCTCTTGCATTAGTAGAGTAGTTTATTTAAATTTAATATTTTCACATAATTTGTTCATAACTAAAATGTCGAGTAGGAAAACATGCTTTTTAAGTATTATTTCTCTTACATAGACGCTATGTATTATTTCTCAATTAAATATCCAGAAATAATTAAGTATAATTTAATCAATATAATTATTATATATCTATAGATATCTAAGTTTTAAAAAGCGGTTCTAAATATAAAAATTCAAAGAGAACAATTATAATATATATTATATTTATTGAAGAATATGTTGATGTACAAACACCGATGAATTATATTTATTGAAGAATATGTTGATGTGCAAACACCGATGAAATTGTATATGATATTTTTTTGGTTATATGATAAATTTCTCGAGGAAAATACTGATTAAATAAAGTAGATAAATTTTTTTGATACACTTTGTCTATTTATAAATTCATTTATAAATTTATTATCGATGAATTTATCAATAAATAAAAAATTACTCATAAAAGTTTTTTTAATGCAATATTTTTATTTATAAGTCTACTAATAAAATACTTATATATTATAAATATAAATATCAACAAAAAAGTTTATCCATAAAACAAAACGATGAAGCTAGCTGCCAAAAAGGCAAGCATCAAGGTCAAAATGTGAAGACCCGCACCCCAACCGCCAAAGCTGTCTAGACTCTTGCATTTCTTCGATCGTTCGCATCTGGCAAAATTCAAGACATAAAGTGCAGATAGCAAGAAACTTTCAGTGATCTTGGAAGAAATTTCATCGGTAAATTCTTTTTGTAGTGAGAAACGGTGGATAAAGTTTTAGACAAAAATATATTTAATACTCTTTAAATAGAATTATATCATGCCATCGGTCATTAGATCTTTAATTCAAATTATTATTAATCATTTATTATGTGACACATGTACATTTAGCTGCACTTCTAAAACTTTTACATATCAAATCATCATTTAGCTGCACTTCTAAAAAGTTTACATATCAAATCATATCATGACACATGTTGTTTGATGATTGACTAAAACTAATTTTAATTAATGAGTGGACTGCTAATTAATTACATGGAATTTATTTCTTAAGATACTATGATATTTGATCAATAGATTAAAAGAATCATGGTATATTGATAGTAGGATTTTGGACCTTTTAAAATAATTGTCTAATTAATTTGTAATTGTTGCTTAAGCCAAATCTTAAATAATTTTTATAATTGTACAAGTTATGTTTATATATTTTTTAAATTCGAAGCTAGAGTTTTATTTATTTAAAGTTTTTTCTACTTAAATTTTTTTGATTATATTAAAAAATAATATAAATTATGGCCTTTAAGATAATCAACAAATGAGATGCTCATGAGTTTTAATTTCTATCAATTTTATTTATTTATTTAATTAAATTAAATAAGTTTAATACAATGTAATTGAGTATATTTAATATTTAAAGATTAAAAAATTTTATTTGATGAGTTAATATTTAAGGATAAAAAACTTTTATTTGATGAGTTGTGTTAGAAAACTTTAAGTGTCCAAGAAAAATTGCTACCAAGCCATAAGGATTATTTAAAATCTATTTTAAATATTAATCTTTTTAAATTTAACTGGGTGATAGATTAATTGACTAGTGAAATTTAAATAAAATTAAATGGATGTTTTTATTTTATTTTTTAAAAATAATATTTTTTAAAGTATTTTTTAAATATTATTTTAAAATTAATGCAGATTATCACGATCTAATCCAAACTCTCAATTAGCTGTACGAAATTAAGAAAATGATATATCACACCAACTCCCTGAAGAAAAGGCCGTGAGAGTTTGGTCGTTTATTGGAGTAGTCAAAAAATAAATGAAAAGATTAATGTTTCATCTGCATGGACCCACTAATCATATTGAAAAATTAAAAGAATCATTAAAGCTTATCTTATTTCAGACAAGTGATCAGACAGGTACATCAGATGATTTCATAATCTGACGTTTTATGCATCATTCCACCTTCCATGCAAAATTAAGGAAATAATTAAATCGTTGGCAATTTCGAAAATCCTTCACAAAGAAAGGGTATTTGCACCGGCAAAGCTGCGCGCTTCATGGAGTATCCGATTTGCTTGAGGATTAAAAGCACCACATTAATTAATACAGTAAAAACAATAATATTTTAAAACTAATTGAGAGTTTGGATTGGATCGTGATAGTCCGCATTAATTTAAAATAACATTTAAAAAATAATTTAAATAATATTATTTAAATTATTTTTTATATAAAAGTGTGATGTTGTGTTCATTTATTAAAGATAACTAACTTTTTACTTGAATTTTTTATGTCAATATATATTTTAAATTTTTAAATTTTTCTTGATATAAGCTAATGTGTATTTTAAAATTTCTAGTTCTTTTAATTATTAGATGATGACTTTTAATTTTCTTTGATATATATATATATTTTTTTTCATTTTTAGGAAGTTCAAGCTGATGTCATGGTATCATAATACTTAAAAAAAATTAAGAAAAAAGACACCAAAATAACCCACAAATACAGAATTACAAGCCAAAAAAACTCATAACAGCATGCCCTTTTCTTATAAAAGAAAAATACGGAAATTAATACACAACATACCACCGTGTATACTGGTAAGTCTACACAGCACATAAAGTACAGGAACCAGTGATTAATGGCGCAAACAACTACGAAGGATACAAGGTACAAAGCCACTGGGCTAATTAACTTAATACCAAAATTACAACAACAAGAGTTAACATCAAGGAAGAAAGGGGCAACATTTCTTATAACACACCTTAACTATTTCCATTTTTAGCTTGCAAAATCTTCAACTGGAATCCAGATGCCCATCGTCAGGTTTCTTTCAGCCGTGATACGATAACTCCTGACAACATTTCCCTCCACTTGCACAATCAACTTAACTCTATCTCCTTGCTTCAACCTTTTCTCACGAGCATAGCTCCCCCATTGGCCTGACATCCAAGGCTTCTTATATTTTCCCTCGTTGCGAATGGAGACCTTGAATTCCCATGGCCGGTCTACCATGTCCATTGCAACAAATTCGAAATGATTTTGACCATTAGGGATGGGGAAATTGCTAAGGCTTTCCATCGGAAGTTCCAGTCGATTATTTGTTGCATCACTCTTGGACACTGATTTTTCCATTGCCACCTCCTCCATTTCTAGTAAATTAAAAGGGCTGAGAAAAATTTGTAAAAGAAAATTAGAAATCTATTTGCCAAATGGTATGGAATCTTTTGTAGGGGTTTTGGAATGAAAACAGATCAGAGGTAATGATCTTTATTTATACCGATCAATGGGCCAATGTTAGAAGGTCCAAGTCCCTATCCGGCCGCATTCACTTGCGTTTTTTGGTCGCTTGTCGAGCTTGAGCTATGGATATCGTTCGAAAATCCCCAAATAATCCGAAGGGAACAAAAAGATAGAAGAAAAAAAATCAAAGTTTGGAAATGACATTGAAGACGTGATGGATTCTCTTTTAATTATTTTATTGCACTAGGACTGCATTGACAATGATTGATCATGTTGAAAATGATTACTTAATCTTGATCACATAACCAGTTAATTACGACTAATCGAGCTCCCACATACATCTAGGTATCTTAAATACTTTTTTTATTGTGGAAGCCAGTGCCATATATTGACTTAAAAAACATTGATAATGAGGTGAAAAAATAGTTTTATTCTATTCAATGTCCGTCATATATAAGATAAGAAAATACTTAATATTGTAACAAAGAAATAAAATACTTAATACTTAATATTTCAATTTAATAACTTAAATTATTAGACAAGGTCTCAAAATATAGGTATACATTATCTTATACTTAATTTTTATCAAATAAATAGGAATGGTGAGATTCGAACTTATAACCACTTAGTTATCAAGACTCTGATACTATGTCGTAAAATCATCTCAACCCAATAATTTAAGATGTTATGTAAGGTTTCAAGATATGATTTATATTATTCTCTAATATCATTTTTTTGACACTTTTATTGTCAAATTATTTGTTTTTTTAATATAATACAAAATTACACCAACATAACCATTACTAGAAAACTAGTTAATTCAAATAAAAATACCAACAATCACTACTATAATTAAATATTAATATTTTTAATTATTTTATAGATGAGTCCGTCTGTAATATTTAATTTAAATTTTTAATTTAATCAAAAATTTTCTGAAACCGCCAAATATCACTAAAGACTTTTCAACCGGTCGATAATTTTGTTTATAATATTTAATTTAAAATTTTATTTTATTTTATTTTATTTAGAAATCATAGTTTTAAAACTTGACTCGGCCCAACAGGTCGACTCGGGCCCCGACCACCCTAAGGATGGAACTGAGCCAAGTTGAAAAAACAAGGGAAGAAAAAATCAGGTATGACCCAGCAGGTTAACCCAATGACTCGGTTGACCAGGCAAGACCTAATCAAAAACTCAATTGCAATTCATTTATTTTTTTTATTTCTTACTAAAATGACTCCATTTTATTTTATTTTTTAAAATTGACTTGGTCAAAACTCGAAATCCGGGTCTTAGACCTAGCCGACCATTAGACCTGATCTAAAAACTATGTTTTAGATGCTTGAATAGTTGCATATGTTGGTCTATGATAAGTATTAGAGAATAATTTAAATTTAAAATCTTATCTTAAAAATTATATTTTTTTAGTTGAAATAGTTTTTTTATAAAATATCAAAGATTTAGTTATTATACGGTTACGAGGTCAAATCTTATAAATTTTATTTTTTTATTTGAGATTTATTAATATAATAAAATAGTAAGATTTTATTTAATTTCTAAGCTAAAAAACTTTTATTTTAACAATTATATTAAAAAATAACATATATATATATATAACTCGAAAAGTAAATGGAAAGAATAAAATAGTTTTATTCTATTCAATGTGCGCACATATAAGATAAGAAAATACTTAAGATTGTAACAATGAAATAAAATATCTTTGCTATTGGTTTCTTCTTTTTATTTTTCAATTGAGATATACAATATATATTAAAGAAATATTTCAACTTAATAACTTAAATTATTAAACAAGATTTCAAAATATAGGTATACATTACCTTATACTTAATTTTTATCAAATAAATAGGAATGGTGAGATTCGAATTTATGACCACTTAGTCATCAAAACTCTGATGCTATGTTGCAAAATTATCTCAACTCAATAATTTAAGATGTTAGATGAGGTTTCAAAATATGATTTATATTATTCTTTAATATCATTTTTGGTACTTTCATTGTCAAATTATTTGTTTGTTCAATATAATACAAAATTACACCAACATAACCATTACTAGAAAATTAGTAAATTCAAATAAAAATACCAACAATCACTACTATAATTAACAGTTTTACCGATAAAATTTTCCATCAATATTTGTACTATCATTTCATTGCTAATTAATTTATCGATGAAATTACGGATAGAAATGCTCTGTCAATGAATCTTTTATCGGTAATTTTTTGTCTGTCGATAAGTCCATTGGTAATAAAACAATATTATTATCTATGAATTTACTGATGGAAAAGGAGTGCAAAAAACAAACCTCCTTCATTTTGTTTATTTTCTAAGCTAAAAAACTTTTATTTTAATAATTATATTAAAAAATAATATAAATTATATTAAATGGACTGATTTTACTGGCATTTGCAAGCGAGATAACTCTATATGAAATTAAGAAAATGATATATCACACCGACTCCTAAAGAAAAGGCCGCGCGAGTTTGGTCGTTTATTTGAGTAGTCGAAAAGTAAATGGAAAGATTTAATGTTTCATCTTCTTGGACACTGGCTAGAGCTGACGTTCGCTTACCAAAAGTGAACATAGATCTGCCATGCTCTCCCCAATAATTAAAAGGAGTTGGAAGTGGTTTGGTAACAATCTTTCTTGGACTCGTAAAGTTTGACAAAGAGAACCTGAAATTAATGTCGTCGCCAAAAAGAATGTTATTTCTTGGCCGCCTTATCAAACACTAATCTATCTTTTGTCTTTTCTTTTTTAGGAGCCCAAAGTGCAGCCGAATTAATTGGTTGAATTAAAAAGCTTAATGTTTCTCTTCTAATTTGTTTGAAGAACGAACCAATTAATTAATTATTTGTGTGCTCGTGATTAAGACTACTTTCAGTCCAAGTGATATAAAACAATTCAAAGAGAGTCTAACACATTATGCTCGCAAGCTTACGAAATCGATTAGTTCTCATGGTGGGTGAAGATCTCTCTCTCTCTCTCTAATTTTCTCTTTGAATACGGGGGGTTTTCGCACGACATCCATATTATAATCTAGCACATACCACAATTCGGACAGGGATTTGAAGCTGCCAACATTGCTCCATTAAGTAACTTCTTGGACGATGATGATTACATCTAAACGATAAAGAGGATAATTTTTTAAAAAAGAAAAGGACGTTGATGAATTCTCTTTATAACTGATCCAATCAACAAAGCTGGTCGGTCGCCAGGATATAGGCCTTGGTCGTAAGTAAGCGGGCGCTTGGGATTAAGAGAGAAAAAGATACAAGTGTTTGTAAACTTATCTTGTGATATTAGGGTGGTTGTCGCTCGTTTAATCGAGCGACGATGGCCTTCTATGTTGTATTCAGTATTGTGAAAGATCAGAAATAATCGATTACATTAGCTTACCACTCTATTATGGTTCGACAATACATAGACAACTCACATCTTCGCCAATCACAGAAATAATCGATTACATCAGCTTACCACTCTATTATGGTTCGACAATATATAGACAACTCACATCTTCTGAAAATTAAAATGATAGTTTTTATTTTAAATTAGTTTTTTAGTGTTTCTTTATTGTTTTTGATATGCTAATATTAAAAATTATTTTTTTAAATATATATAAAAAATATTATTTTAATTTATTTTCAAGAAACAATATTTTAAAAATAACTTTTATTACACTCTTAAACACCCTCAAAGCTATCCAATTAATTTTATAGATAAGGTATTTATATTACCATTAAATAACTATTTTAAAAAAAGCTTAAATTATTAGATTAACTTTAGTAAATGACTTTATATTACTATCTAATAAAATTTTTTAAAATTTTAAATTTACACAAACTAATATATTATTTTTCAATTAAAAAATAAAGACCAACTCCTTATAAGGTAAAGTGTGATGAAAGACCTTATAAGCTTTTGGATAAATAACAATTCTATCTTTTGAGTCTAATAAGAGTTTAATCGGATTTTATCCTGAGGTTCGAAATAGATATCAGATCTCACTTGAAAGTTTGTTAAATTAAAGAACACCATTATATACCAGAAAAAGATATCATAACTCAATTTTTAACCATTTAATTTTCAAATAAAAATAGAATTTTTTATAAAAATATTCATTTTCAGTAAATTTAATTAATTATATTCTTTTTATTATTTATGTCACTTTTAGTGATTTTATATGTTAAATTAAGTTAAAAAAATATTAAAAAAAATTAAAGATTAAAAAAATAAAAAATATATAATTTGGGAACGGAATTGAACCAATATTTAAGTTTTACATATCAAAAATCAAGTTTGGAAAGTTTAGTTAAATCCAATAATAATTTGGACTATAATTATTCACTTCTCGCGGTAATAATTAGGAGTTATTGATGGAATGAGAATTCTAGCACATTGACAATTAATTCTTTTTTTGACCATGGTGCACTTTCCCAATGAAATCATTAACGAAATGAGAATTCTAATCACTAACAGAATCACCGATAAAATAAAAAGGAAACAATAATATTTAGAGGGGTTTTAGAAAAAAAATTTATAAATTGAGAATTTTACATTGTCTTCACATACAGAATCATCAGTGAAAATTTTAAAGATATTAATATTTAATATTATATCAGGAATATCTTCAGTAAAACCTAATATAAAAAACCACGAACATAACAAACAAGGTTTGATCTTCTTCATTCTTCTTCTGTCATCCCCTTTCGTTTTCTCTCTTCTTCTTAATTTTCTTATTTTTGTTCATGATCGAAACTTAAAATCAAGCATCATTTTCTCTTCTCGTCCTGAGGTATGTTGTCATTCTTCATTTTTCTATTTTTTTCTATTTTTCATCTTTTTTAACAATTCCTTTTCATTTATGTTGTGATGTCGTGGCTGTTGAGGGGGTATCGTGCCTCTTGAGGAGATATATGTTGTTGGGAAGGTTTTTGGATTTAATCATAAAATTATGATTAAAGTGCAGGATTCCTTACCTTGTATTATGGTTGCTAGGAACCTATGGTCGGCAAGAAAGGTAAAAGACTGGTTGTGCAAGAGGAAGATAAGTCACCCCTATCGAACCTTGCCTAAGGTAAGTTGCATTGTTATTTGATTATTTTTCTAGGTCAGGTTTCTATTTATTGATCTTGTCTAAGGTTCAAGGTAGATCTTCTTTAATGAGAGAGTCTCTATCTCGTCAGGTTTAATCCTAATAGTTTAATAGTCTAAATTTTATCATCGTATTTATTTTATATCCTGTATCTTTAATACTTGATTGTGTATTCTATTGTGTAATTTTACACTCCATAAATATTAAAGTCTATATCTAGATCCTAAAATAAATATTGATAAAGTGTTTTTGATATTTTGGTCAAATCCTAATGTATAATCATAAATTAGTTATGATATCTATTTTATTTTATTTTTAAAACATGAGAAATATTCAATTTTTGATCTTTTTAAGAAAATATATTTGGAAAATTTTAGCATTTGGTTGCATGCATGAAAATAGTCGATGAAAATTCTATTGTTTTAATAGATTCAAGTTTCCAACATTCTAAAAGGAAACCGCATGTCAAAGCATGAGTTTCACGGTTTAAGTTTAGTATTAACTTATTTTTTTTATTATGTTAATTTGGTTAGTTTATTGAAATTACTGAAATTTTTCTTTTTTGCTGCAAGGGAAAATTTGTATAAGAGAGAGCTAAAGATAATATTGTGACGAGGGTTTAAAAGAATCACGTTAATCATGTTGCAACTAGATAAGATCAAAATTATGATAAATTTTTTAATTATAAATATTAGAATTTTATTTTTCATTTACTAACAGACAATTTATTGGTAACATATATGTTGCATGATTTTTTGTACGAGGTGCAAAAGAAACAAAAAAAAAATGTGAGAGAAAGCGAGCTTCCAACCTAAAATGACATGGTGGTTTGGAAGGATTCCAGACAACCATATATCTCAAAGGCTGTATGGATAGACTACATTCAACAACACGTGATGTAACAATCTATATGGAGAATCAGCATCGGTGTGTTCACGGTTCTGTTACCACGCACACCAACGACTCTATTTCATTGGTTTTGCATGCGAAGCGAAAGGTAATAAATTTGTTTAATACTTTTATTTTTTTTATTTTTATAAATATATTTAAATGATAACATTTTTATCTTACGGGCAACGGTTCTTGGACACAAGTCAAGTCCAATGGATATTTTTGTTCACATGCGAAGTGATGACCACAAAAAAAAAATGCAATAGTTTATTAATAATCAAGCTCAACACTTAGTGGTATGTTGGTTTTCAACCATTTTTTCATTAAGTTATAATTTCCTTTAATTTGATGAATCTATTTTTTTCTTTTTAGGATACATTTAACAGCCGCTTAAAGGAGAGATACAGGGACGATCCTTTGATCCATTAGCATCTCGATCTAGATTTGTGATTGGACACAAGATCGTCTAGTGAGTCTGATATAAATTAGGTGTATGGACTACTTAACATTACAACAAAGAACTTGTGGACGATTCATAGTATTTCGACCACACTAGATGCTCACAATTGGTTCCAAGCACTCACTCCCGAGTTTGAGGCGATGTTAGACCAACAAATACATGATCAGACAACCTATCCTAACAAAAAATATGAATGACTCATTACGAATTATAAATAACTCCGCCAAGTGGTAATGAAAATGAAATCACAAATAGGTGGTCTAGGTGCTCCTTTTTATTGGCCTTGTAGTCTCAACGATAACCAACCTCCTCCTCCTCCTTCTCCTCCGGCGCTATCTTTGTTTTATATTTATTTTAGTTGAATGTACAAATGTTTAGATTTGTAATATATATTTATTTTTTATATTATTTCAATTTCTTTTTATATATTTAATTTTAATTTATTTTAATTTTTTTTCTACTTTTGTTCAATATATATATATATATATATATATTATTTTTTTAAAAAATATTATAGACATAAAGTTTGAGACAAAAATGTATTTAATACTCTTTAAATAGAATTATATCATGCCATCGGTCTTTCAATAAATTATTTGATTAGATCTTTAATTCAAATAAGTATTAATTATTTATCATGTGACACATGTATATTTAGCTGCGCTTCTAAAAAGTTTACACATCAAATCATGTCATGACACATGTTGTCTGATGATTAACTAATACTAATTTTAATTAATGAGTGGACTGGTAATTAAT